AGCCAAACTTTATAACAATGTGTTCAGTTTGTGTACAAATACTGGTGATACTGTGAGCCTAACACTGAAGCGAGCAAACACAAATCAGTGAAATGGGAACACAAGACAAATATCATCTTCATTTGTAAGCTATTCGTTAGCATGCTGGACGTGGCTGAGATCGTCGTCTACTGGCTTTGGGGCGTGATGGTAGGAAACTCCAGTCCCCACTGTGAAAACCAGTTATTTCAAGCACCGATTTCCCACCATTAAACTGCACATAGACAGTTATTTTCAGCAGTTTGAACAAAATCAGTCATTTTCTTGAGAGACAAGTTGGGACTCGTGTTCTGCTGTCTTTGAACTTCTCTTCACGCCTCTTAAAGTTTCTTTCGTCAGTGAGAAATGAGATTCCCTTTGTTGAAAAAGCAATAAAGCATAGATTATTGTAATGAGAATCAAGGCATTGTGACACTCAAACACTGTCCTGATTGTGTGAATTATGAGAGCAATTACAGCAGCAACAACACTTTAGCTGATCGCCAGGCTTTTATTGCGCTGCTTCAATCCAGCTTCATCTTCTTCTCCGTCTTTGTGTTTTTGCTCGTTGTCATGTGTGCTGACTCGTGACATTTCATCTATGTCCACATTATGAGAATTGTTTAGAGGCAATTAGAGAGAAGAGCCTGGTTTGAAGTGTACACCACTGACCGGAGTAACTGATTCCATTTTTTCTTTGTTTGGATTCAATTCCCAGAAAGATGATTCTGTTCATCTGGACGTTTCATTCTTTCTGTTTCTAAATTTGTATCTTTTCTTATCGTACCAAAGATTTTCTTTGTACTTATTTCACCCACTTTTGTTGGAAATGGAAACTGTATTTTTTTCTGTTGGGCCTTCCTTCTTTTCTTCCCTTCATTTTCATCTCTTTTCCATTTTTTATCCTTCTTATTTATTATCTGTCTATTTACCCTTTAATGCTATACTTCAGCACTTGAAGATAAAGCAAAGTCATGCTTGTTTTTTTAAATTATACCACTTTGAGCCTTTAAAGTCACTGATAGCATCCTGCCTCTGTCGCCCTCACAGGACTTCCTGGAGACTCTGGAGGATTTGGATCTGAGCTACAACAACCTGGTGGAAATCCCCTGGGACACCATTGCTTTGCTCGTCAGTGTCAACACCCTCAGCCTGGACCACAACCTCATAGAGAGCGTCCCAGAGGGAATCTTCTCCAACCTGCACAAACTGGCCAGGTCAGGATCACATAACACTGCAGTGCTGCAGCCTGCCTGGGTTTGACTGGAAGTGGGAAAATGAAAGCTCCAGCTTTATTTAATTTAAACTGACAAATACCATTCACCTGCACTTACACAAATCAGTATCACAACGAAACGTGTAATGGACATGCAGAAGTTGCGTTCCCAGCAGGGGGAGATAATATATTTAAAGCCACGAAGTCTCTAGTGAGCAAGAAACATATGCACGTGTCAGGGTCCTTGGATTAATATGTCTATCAATGTAAATGAGTTAATAATGGCTGTTTAAACATCTTCCAGTGATTATTTACATGTTGGCTTGAAGATCTTCCTCTTCTGTTTCTGCAACTTAATGCAACGTCTTCATGTGTGTGCATTTCGAATTTTGGAGAGGCAAAGC